AATGTGGTCAGTGGTTTTCTTTAACGACCAAACATTAACAAGACTACCGTGGGCGAATTGCTGTGCCCCAACGAATAACTACGAACTGCTCCATTCATTATCCGGTGTGCTGCCGGGAGGTGCCATGGTATGTTCCAAATTGGATATTTGTTATATGTAAGCCAAATTATTGATATCCCGAATGTAATCTGCAATAATCAACTCTCCTCGACCGGACACCACCTTCTAGAATTATAACAACAGTAATATCACTGCGCTGTGTTGCGACGCCAATGCCCTACATAAACATTGTTTTGTGTGGGGCCTTATGTAGGTTGTCACTCTAAGTCCCAGGGCTTCGGTTGCCAATCACCAGTTACCATCACTGAGCAGCAAGTTTTTGTGACTATGGGTTCCACCCCTTCTGCTGTTCATCACACACCGGTGTGTAATAAAAAGTATGCACCATGTTGAGGTGCAGCGAAATCGTCCCGTACATGAATCGGGCAATGTTTCTTTTGGAAGTGCGCACTGTCGATGAGTCCCGGAGAGGACAATGCATCTGCTTAATGCTTTTTGTCACAATCCGGTTGTGGATTCCTTAAGAAAATTCACCTGCCTTGGCCTGGGCAACCTGGCAATATTCCGCCCATACGCAATTCATGGAACGTTTTTCTTTTTATAAAGATTCTTGTTCCATGATTTGCTTGGCACACAGTCTGTCCTCAGACATGTGTGAAATATAATATAATAATGGTAATGCAATGCACTGCCGGACTTTGCTCCTGAAGGGCGCATAGCCAGTTGGCTGTAAACTCTGAACCGCTCAAAAACGAAATGATAACATCGTTTTGTTGTTGTTTTAATTTCGTTTTACAATGGTGGTGATAATGCCATTCGAACATAGTTTTAACTTCAGTGGCTCCGAATATTAGTTGGGCCTATAACTTTGTATCTCGGATACAGTCTGGTCGTCCTACCTGGGGTTAACGGGAAAAGCAGAATTGTCCAAACATGTGATAAATATCCGATCTCGAATCAGGTGGCGTAGAAAATAATCACTTAAGTAACGATAAATTAATTTAAGGACTCTGTTTTTCCCGGGGGATTGCATTCTTTAGAGGTTCTCATTTACAGCCTTGAAATGAACTCAGTGTCGTAGCAATGTGAATTGTGCAAAGGTTATCTACCATTCCTTCAAACAATGGCTTCGCATCGCCAGAGGCGAGGAGGTTTCGTTCGATTAGTTTAGGAACTGCGCTGAACAATAACGTGACTCATATTATGGGTTTGTTTTTGTTCACAAGTAGCACATGAAATCCGTACAAATGTACCTAACTGAATTCACTTTACTATGATTACTTGTTACACGAGAATAACCTG